ATGGCTAGAAGGAAGATGAAAACTTTGGGGAAGGAAAAGGAAGGCTTGTGCTCCACACTGCCCTCAGGATCTAGCATGCTGCGCGGCCGTGCTGCAGAGACACTTGCCACGATAGAAAAGCGCTGCCGCAAAGAAAGGACTGCTGCAAACGGAGGTTTTGCAACAGTCTGGCTTCTGCAAGAGGCTTAGCAGAAGCTGTGTTCATTCCAGACCTCAGGAAGATGTATTTATGGAGGATTCAAATACTGTAAAATTGAGTGCTTCGTGGTGGTAGTGGTGTATTAAGTAAGGCCATTTATGGGTACAAGACAAATGAAAGTGCTAGTTGGGTCAAGAACAGTAATACTGCATTTGTCTCTGGGATACCAGTCAGATTTAGAGATCTGCTTTAACTATGTCCTAGGAAAATCAGGGATAGAGTTATTGTGATTTTTGACGGATTTGCAAGTGCCTTTTTTTAGTATACTAACTATAGCATCTAGTAACTATGGTGTAATGTCAAAGGATACCAGTGGCTTGGTTGCTAGTGGTTACTGATGCAAGTGCTCTGAACAAGAGTCACAGCATGCAGTCAGCAAAAACAGAATTACAAACACGCCATGCACAGTATCATGTCAAATGGGGAACCATTAGCCAGGCCTTCAAGAAATTAGTCTCTGCGTGCACCCGGTTGGCGAGAAGTGAGTGGCCAGACCACTGGTCTTCACAGTGTAATCTGGGAGAAACCACATTACCAAAGGGTTTTTAAGCAAGAAGGAGGCATTAAGCATCAGGAACTGAATTTGGTACCAAAGCTTTCAGATATACAGAGCCAAACCACTGCTTCAGTGCACTGATGCCATTCTTGGGTTGTCTGCAAGAAAAAATAGCCATTTGTACAATTTGCTACTATGCCTGCTGGAAGAAAAGGATTTGTATATATAAAGTAACAACACTAGAAAGCATTTGATGGTCATTGATTTCTTCTTGGACTGAGAAACTGGTCCTCCATGCCTGTGATTCTGATAATTCTTGGCAAAGAAAAGCAAAATGTAGTGATTTACAGAAAACAATTAAGTAGCGCATCCAAGGCATATTGGAAATCTATCTTTTGAAGAGCAAATTACATTTTGTAATCTCACTTTGTGATTATTTTTTTTTAAACTGAGTTTTGGTAGATCTTTGACATGTTGATTAAATTTGGTTAGGTAATTCAAGCATAAGTGGCATTACTGTAAGTGAAGAAGCCATGTATAACTAGTTGAAAAATTTAATTATAGTTTTTAAACATTTCAGATTTGTCATGGTTTTATGTATTGCAGCTTAAGTAGACATCCAGCATCAAGAAATAATGCAATACGCTACAAAAATATATAGATGGAAAATCTTCTACCATGCTGTCTATGGGGAAGATACACTGTGCTACGAATCTGAAGTTCTCATCTTCACAGATAAGTGCTATCTTTCTGTATACTTTCCTGGCTGTAGTATTGACCAAGAACCTTTCGTTTAGACGACAGTCAAGTACGATTTCCCTATTTTATAAATAAATTATCTAAGAAGCTTTAGAGTTTCTTCAGACACAGCTGGAGACAGAGAATAGGGCTTTAATATAGTATATACATTTAAATAAATTTTTAAAACCTAGTAAATCCTAAAAATAATTTAAAAAAAATCATTCCAATGATTAAAATAATTCAACATAAACATTTTTTGGCCAGAAAATTAAAAATAAATCTACAATACACTTTTACATTTTTTGAGGCATAATGTTATAGTAGTTTGGGTATGGGACTGAAAATGAGGCATCATATTGCAACATGAGACAAGCAAGGTTTTGCTCTGGAAAGGGACTCTACAAAATCTGCTTCCTACAGCTTTATGATTACTGTCTCCAATTTCTACATAAAATTTAGTGGCTTTCAGAATTATATTTTCTCCTACAAACTGAGCCCAGAATCTGAAAGTTTTTGATCACTGGCACTGAATCGGGAATTCTTTAAATAATGGCCAGCTGGCAGCAGAATTCAGCTTCCTCTTTTCATGCCATGTTTCTATATTGCTCCCTGCAATAAAACATTCTTTAACATCGGCAAAGAAGGAAGAATTGTTTCTGAATACACAGAGAGAGAGACCATGTCAGACTGTTGGCTTTATAATGATTCAAGTTTTCAGAGCCAAACTGCACTGACATTTCATATTAGTCTATCCAACTATTTGAACTAAATCTGATTATCTTCTAATAAATTTCAGCTTGCAGGAAAAGTGCCAGTCAGGTTTGCAAACTGGTGTGTCTTTGCTTGCTAGCACGTCTAAATGTTGATCTAGGAGGACTCTATCCAGTAGCAAGTATAATGTAGTTACTTTTGCAATTTACTCTTTGGCCTACTAAACCTAATAAAAATCTTTGTCAAATAGGACTGGACTGAAACCACCACCCAGCTAACCTCAGCTGTCCCCCAAACAGCATTGCAGCACTGCAATTTCTGTCACTGCTGAGCTGGACTGGATCGGCCCATGTTCCTAAAGGTGAAGGCTCTGCACTGCATCCCATTAGCACTACCCTGAGCTACCCAATCCTCATTTTGTAAAATGTGAACCACAAAAAAGCAGATTAGCTCTAAGGATCGCACTGACTTCACAAGATATTCAGAACCGTGTCTTGCCAGTATTTATAGAATCCAGTATTACAGATTTTGCAACTTTTGTTTACCTACATAGAGTCTCAGAGGTAGTGTTTCCAGCACGACTATTCACATCATTTTTAATACTTTCCTTTGAACCCTTTTAGCAGTTCAACATTAATCTTTTATGTGCCTTGTTTTTCTGGAAGAGCCTCCTTAGCCTGGGCTAGGAAGTGCCAACAACATGAAATTTCACTGCCAAGTAGGGGTAGTACTGTACTGGATCACTGAGAGATTTGCCTTACACAAGCACTTGCCAATTTCTTTATGTCACCCTCCAGCACTGCCAAGAGCCAGGCGGGCTGGCTCTTCTCCCCCAAGACCTGCAAAACCGCCAGCAACACGCTGGCCAAGATGCTGTCCCTAGCTGCAGCCGGGGCCAGCTTCATAGCCAAGGTCAGGGGGCCAGGAGCCATTTGCCCCCAGCGTCCCTGTTTACCACAGGCTGCGTTGTGTAGAGCACACCCACTTCTCCACCAAACGTCGGGAGCAGAGGAAGGGCTGGGGGGTAGGGGGTAAGCCCTGAGGAAGGGGGGAACGAGGCCCAGGCTGCAGTGTAGGGCAAACCCTCCAGGCGGGTCCTAGCCCTGCACCACAGGGCCTGGGGCCTAGCGTGCGTGGGGAGAGGCCTGGGATGAAGAAGGGGGAACAAATGGGGTGGCTGAGCGGGGATGAGGGAAAAAACGGAGCTGCTTATTCCCACGTCCCCGTTTCCTGCTGTGGCGCTGGGGGAGGGAGACCCTGCGCGCCGGGGGAGATGGGAAGGGGGGCGCCCCTCCCAGCGGAGGGGGAGTTCTGAGGCGCAGGGGGAGCTCCCCCGGCGGCCGGGGCCGGGGCGGGCA